TACCAGTAAAATCAAAGGCAGATTATTTGCAAATGCTTGAAATAAGTACTAAGTTATGCATGGTACATATGAGTATACACTATTGTATATATCATTACATATTACATGTATTTGTTATATATATTGTTATAATTATACACATGTACCTGTGAGCATAGTAGTTTACCTTGTTACTCATTTAGGCCAATGGAGAATAAGGTATTAGGTTATTGTTGGGTTCAGTGACATTTTGGAACTCTGAACCAGGAATGATGTGTTTAAAGTAAAGACTTAAAGGTTCTTGCCTGCTTCCAGAGTGAATTGTTTACTGTGTCACTTATTTAGCCTTTCAGTGTTTTTACTTTAACCCTTTGGGATGAGAGAAATGCCACTTAATAAAAAGCAAATGCTAGTAATACTAACAGTTTTAACAATAGGGCATAAATACTTTGGCCATTAATTACATTTTTGTTACCTTTGAAATATTGCAGCATTAGTTACTTTTAGTTAGCACTTACTGCAGCTATCAGTTAAGACACTTGTAGCTTTTATATTCTTTCCTTCTCAACTATGAGCACCTTGAGGGTGCTCTTGTCTTGTTTTTAACTGTGTTCTGTGTCACAATGCCTAGCACTGTCGATTTTCAGGGAATGTCAATTGAGGGAAAGAAGTAATGGAAATTCACTCTTGTAATCCTGTTGTCTTTATATGATTTGTGAAATCACCTAGTAGTATGCATGGAATAATCACTGTGGTGTATTTTGGTGAACAGCAAGAAAGTTAAATGAATGTAACATTTGAAAATCTAGGCATCCTACTTTAGTCCAGTGTATTAACTAGCTTCCTATATGTTTCTCTTGGCTAAAGCTTCAGCTTAAAACCATTGTACTCAGGGTATAGTGTTCTCAACAGTTAGTCCATGTTGCCTTTTCTTCTCCATCTGCTGCCAGACCAATGACCGACATGTGGTGTATGTGTGGTGGGTTCATGAAGTAAATGTGTACATGATCTGATGTTGACTGGGCACCAAGTATTCAACATTGCCCTAGAGATCCCAACTTTGGCATACTGCACATGTACTGCCTCTACTCAGTCCTAAGTGATCAAAATTTGTACCTCTCCCAGATGAAGTGGCTTTCTGTGAAACCTGTGGCAATAAATGTTAGTAGCTGGAACCCATAGAAGGAGAAGCAGATAGGCTATGGCAGGTCACATCAGTTTTCTTGAACCTGTGATAAACAGCTGTGAATCTCGACACATCCTGACCTTTGCTTTGGAGAGGCTGGCAAAGGATCCTATGTGTAGCTGTTTTCTGTCTCAGAACTTGGCGATACCAATTTCTTTTAGTCAGGTGGTTTAGATTTTGTCTGGGAGCCTTACAGCAATGAGAATTCTCAATTATATAGTTTATTGATTGCGCATAGTCTTTTCTGGAACAAGGGAAAGAATGAGACAGTGATAGAAATTGAATAATATCATATTGAATGATAAAATATTTATTGGACTCCCTTGTATTCTGTTAGTCTGTAATTATGTGTTCTTATTAAGATTCTTTCCCCATTAACTAATAATGAAAATAGCTAATTTTATTGAGTACTTAACTCTGCCAAGTATTGTTCTGGATTCTCTTTATTCTATTACAATAACTCACAATCTAGATTTTATCATCAGCTTGAACTCCATAGTGACGTATCTTTCACAAAAGGATAAACAACTCATTTTTATTCAACAGCTATTTGTGGTTTTTGTTTTTTATTATACTTTAAGTTTTGGGATACATGTGCAGAACGTGCAGGTTTGTTACATAGGTATACATGTGTCATGGTGGTTTCCTGCACCTATCAACCTCATCTACATTAAGTATTTCTCCTAATGCTATCCCTCCCCTAGCCCCAAACCCCCGACAAGCCCTGGTGTGTGATGTTCCCCTCCCTGTGTCCATGTGTTCTCATTGTTCAACTCCCACTTATGAGTGAGAACATGCAGTATTTGGTATTCGTTCCTGTGTCAGTTTGCTGAGAATGATGGTTTTCAGCTTCATCCATGTCCCTACAAAGGTCCTGAACTCATCATTTTTTATGGCTGCATAGTATTCCATGGTGCATATGTGCCACATTTTCTTTATCCAGTCTACTGTTTGGGTTGGTCCCAAGTCTTTGCTGTTGTGAACAGTGCCACAGTAAACATGCATGTGCATGTGTCTTTATAGTAGAATGATTTATAATCCTTTGGGTAAATACCCAGTAATGGGGTTGCTGGGTCAAATGGTGTTTCTGGTTCTAGATCCTTGAGGAATCGCCACACTGTCTTCTACAATGATTGAACTAATTTATACTCGCACCAACAGTGTAAAAGTGTTTCTATTTCTCCACATCCGCTCCAGCATCTTCAACAGCCATTTGTACACGCGGTGAATATTGCGTGGATAAATGTTGGGAAAGCCCCACTCTGTGAGTTTGAGCAGGGGATTTTCAGAGCTATACTCATTATGCTATCTTTACAGGGATACAACCCTAAGCTTCTAACAGGTAAAATCTTATAAAGATGGATTAGGGACTCTAAAAGGGCATAAGGGAAGACCAAAGATGACCTTTGAGCCTTATCTCCTATACCTCTTTTTAAAATCTTTTCCTGAAGAAAAGAAACCAAGATTGTGGGAGGCATGGTCCAGTCTTAACTTTTCTTATCTAATTTGTAAGTGTTCTAAGAAAACAAAACATGCACATTCTCCTTGGGCTCCTGTGTGAATATGAGACCAAAGTTTGCATTTAACACTGAACTTTACTTACCTCCCTAGTGGGAGGCAAATCCTGTGTTTCAGTGGTTTTACTTGGCAGACAGGAAAATCAGTTGCCTTCTTAAGTAATGAATGATAAAGGTTTGCTTTAAATATATAAGAAGCTATCAAAATTTGATGATACTAACTTAAGATTTTTGTTTCTTATAACGTGAAATCAGTAACTAAGACACTTTTTGTGTCTCAATAAGTTTACAGTTATTTGGCATATTGATATATAAAAACAAATAAATATGTATATTTTTAGCTTAGTTTTAACATAGCATTTCTATACTTATGTAAACTATAGTTATTTTTAGTTGGAATATACTGTTGCCTCTTGGAATATAGAAACCACCTAAAATGTGAAATGAAAAAGATAATGAAAATAAAAAAAAAAGAAAAAGATAATGAAAATGTTTGTAAACACATTAAAGATTAAAACAGTGGCTGAGTCCAGTGAAAGGAAGTGATCCTATGAATTAGTAATGAAAGTGCATTTACAGCTTATTATCTTACTGGGGTCTGAGTTTTAACAACTGCTGATACTTTAAACTAATAGAAGCCTGCATAGTTCATAATAATTTGAGTATTCATTCTGTTTATGGATTGTTTTTTAATGGAAACACTGAATGGTGTGGCCTATCTTAAATTACCTCAAAGAGTCATTATAAAAATAAGTAAAATTATTTTATAAACATGAAAGGTGCTTTCTCACTCTCTATAGTCATGTGTAATATAAAATTTTTGAATTATGTATGTTTTATTGAGTGGTAGTTTTAAGAGTTTTAAACTTCATTTAGATCCCATGAATATAATTTGTGACAATTTCTAAGTATATTGGACTGATAAAAATTAAGTTTGAATTATAAACAGTATTGTGAAAGTATTTCAGTTGAATAGGAGGCCAAGTATCTTAGAAGATGTTGTCATATAAGCAATGAATATGTTAGTTACGTTACTTTTATGTATTAATTAGGTATACACCTAATATTCTGGTTGCGTACAAGTACCACTTTCTCCACCTGCTTGGTTTTATTCTGTATACTTGAAAACAAACTGCAGGCTGGGTGCAGTGGCTCACACCTGTAATCTCAGCACTTTGGGAGGCTGAGGTGGGAGGATCGCTTGAACCGTGGAGTTCAAGGCTGCATTGAGCTAGGATTACACCACTACGATTCAAGCCTGGGTTAAAGAATGAGACCCTCTGTCTATTAAAGAAAGAAAAAGGGAGAAGAAAACAAATGTCAGTTTCTTAAAACTATTCTAAAATTAAAATTTTTAAATATCTTATTAATTATCTGGCCGTTTCTGCAGTTAGTTGGAAAGAGGAATCACATAATACTAGTTTTTAAAATAATCCAATTAAAGAATATAAAGGATAATTTTTTTTGGTTTCTAAGCAAAGCACACATATTATAGATAATTGCTTTGAAATATTATATTTGAAACAATACATTGAAAGTAAGTAGCCATGTTGTGTTATTCATTATTAAAATTATTTTGATATAATCACACACTGATTTGTTCTTTTTATTTAAGGGGGAAACAGAAAATAAGTGGAATTTATCTCATTTATTTTTGCACTGTACCAGATACTTAGGTGAAATAAATCTTCAAGTCCCTGTTCAGAGGGGCTTATGGCATTAAAGGTGGGATAAGAAATATTTTTAAAATAGTTCAAAAACAATAAAAGCAATGCGTGAATAAATACCAAAGAATATGATAAAATTGATGTCTTAGAAGGGAAAAGATGAAAATTTTAAATAGAAGTTGCCTGATAAAAGTATGCTTATGATATTATGTTAGTTCATTTTATCATGAACTGTTCACTGTGTTTTTAATTCAAGTACATCTCAATCTTAGTTCTGCCGATCTGTTTTGTTTTGTTTTTTTGAGATGGCGTTTTGCTCTTGTTACCCAGGCTGGAGTGCAATGGCGCGATCTCGGCTCACCGCAACCCAAGCAATTCTCCTGCCTCAGCCTCCTGAGTAGCTGGGATTACAGGCACGCGCCACCATGCCCAGCTAATTTTTTGTATTTTTAGTAGGGACAAGGTTTCACCATGTTGACCAGGATGGTCTCGATCTCTTGACCTCGTGATCCACCCGCCTCGGCCTCCCCAAGTGCTGAGATTACAGGCTTGAGCCACCGCGCCCGGCCCGATCTGTTGTTTTAGTAGAGAATCACCATCAGCCTTGTTGGAGCACTGGCAAAACATGCATCATATATCCTTCATTTCTAGGCATACTTCCGACAGGGTGTTGCCCTCCAGTACCTTGGACGTCATGCCGATGCCCTGGCAGCCTTCGCATCTGGACTGGCTCAAGACCCCAAGAGTCTCCAGCTTCTGGTGGGGATGGTGGAAGCCGCCATGAAATCTCCCATGAGAGGTAAATATGATAAAAGTACTTGGTATAACATTAATTTGAAGTAGAACATTTCTAGCCTTCCAGGCTCAGATACAGAGAATCGATAGGCTATCAAATTTGCTAAGATTTGATATTTTAGACCAAGAAAGATCTAGAATCACTGCCAACAACTGACGATAATGAGGCAGAATAGTATGGTAGGAGGGTCACTTACCTAGAATTTTGTGGACCTATATTATATTCTTAAATTTTTTATTAACTAACTGTATGACCATGGGTAAATGGATCAACTTCTCTGGATTTTAGGATTATTTAAAAGCCCTTATAGTTTTTCTGTAGGTCTGAAATTCTGTAATTCTAAACCACAACACTTCTAGTAGGAAACTGATTCTCCAGTTGAACCAATATGCCTTCTAGAAATACTCAAATAAGAGAAGACATTGAACATTCTTATATTTCATAAAGGAAATGTATATCTAATTGTAGGCTGTGTCTCAGATTTTTCAGAGGAGCATTAAAAGATTGTGTTGAATTAAAAGAAGAAACAAGACAGACACCAGTTTACATATTTTCTCCCCATTCTTACTTCTACTTTACACTGGTTGGTATTCTGGAAAACAAAAGAATGGACTGAAAATGCTACTGTGGAGGTTGGAGGAGTTCTGAGGCCCAAAACAGGTGGCGTTATTTTGAGGAACATTGATTTTTTGGGAAAGAGTTCTTGGGAAGATTTGACTAAACGTATATAGCAGTTGCTGTCTTTGGGGAGTGATGGAGACCATGAGGCAGATTTATGGTAAACAGTAGACAGCTAATAATGATTCATTTTAAACAGGGTATGCCAAACAGAACTCTGTTTTTTAGTCTGAAATGGTATGTTTTTTAATTTTTCATGTGGAAAAATGAACCTAAAAATTTTTATGGCGGCATCATTCAACATTTTATCTAGTTTTGCAAATGTTTGCATCATTAGATATTTTAAATATACTGGCTAGTATTATATTTGGCTCAAAATATGTGCCAAATAAAAGTTTGATGAACCAAATGGTACTCATTTGGTCTCTGGGTAATTCATATGTGTAAAAAATATTTTCCTGGAATTTAGGGATTTCATGTTTTAGGGAAAAAGTGTTAAGAAAACCTCTCTTCATGTGATTTTATAGACTGTACAAAGCTGAGGTTTTGCTACAGGCTGAACCCCCTCGGGGACCTGCTGTTAATAAACTGTGACTTAGAGCAGATGCATTTTGTAGTGCCTGGGCTCAGGGAGCATGGGCTGAATGGACAGCAAGAAAAAAAAAGTCATCTTATTTCTCCATTTTCTAGTTCCCTCCCTAAACCCCTCCACAGGGAATTTACATGGAACATTTTTATTTAGTTAATGAAGATACTATCGTTTTATTCTAAGGTGCTTCTGCTGCTGCCTTAGAATATTGGTGTGAATGTGTTGAGATCAGCAGAATCATACTTAGCATTTTGCCTTTGAAACAATCTCTTTAGATAAATGTAAGGAAATCTTCCCTGCACTGCTAGAAATAGCTCAGAGCTGCTGTCACTCTTAGGGTTTTCTGTACCAGGTTCTTTCTTTCCTATCTTAAGTAAGTGACCTAAGGCTGAACCTGGAGAAAGCAGCTTCTTACTGGTGCCTAGAGTACTTAATATCTTCTTCTCTTCCCTTAAGGCAATTTAATTTATCTCATCTATTTTTAGCATTGCCTTTACCACTGTATCTATTCCAGGTGGGCTTTTCATATCAACAATTTATGGAGTCTGTGGCTTTGCACAGTGTTGTTCTGTGTATCATCCCACATCTTAATGACCTCTCTTTTTGTCATATGGTTGTAATTGACAAAATTTCTCATCATTTGCTGCCTACTTTTTTAGCCATTGTTTATTTTAGCCTCCTGCAACTTCCTAAGTTTTGCCGTTGTTGCAATAGCTGTGCAGTTTGAGTCACTTTACATATACATCTGATCTGTTAATGTCAGTTGTTTTTGTTTGTTAATTTTTTTCTTTTTTGTATTTTAAAGGATAGTCAAGTGAAGCAGTGTGAGTGGAGAAGGATAAGTCTGTAACTGGTTTTGATCAGTTAGTTGTAACAGCTATTGCTCTCAGACCAACTTGTTTTGTAATCCTTAAATGCAAGAGAAAACTCTCTGGTCCAGGTGCTTCTATAAGCAGACAAAACTCTCATGACCTACACAGTGTTCCTGTGGTTTGGTCTTTGTGGAAGTTTTAAGTTTTTATTTTTTTAAGGCAGGGCCAACCTATATTAATATACCCTTTCCCTCATATAAATACATTTTATTTTTCTATGTTGAAACTCATTTGATTTTTTATTATTGTTGCCAACATTTCTAACTGAATTAAATCCGTTTTAGTTTCACTCATGCACACAAATCAGATATCAGCTAAACCTTTTCTCCTGTGGATATTACTTACATTATTTTATATGATGTATTTCTCTTAAATCATTAATGAAAATATAAAGTAAATATAAATTGATACTTTCTTTTACATGACTTCTCAAGTAATCATTTACCATATTCTATTTCTTTTTTTGATAATCTTTCAGCAATTTCAGTTTGTGTCTTAAAAACATTTAAGCAAATTTGGATGTTGTAGCATATTATTACTGCCAACAATGGATTTAATAATGTAATTACTAAATGAGATTGAGTTTACCTTTATTTATTTCTCTAAAGATGCTAGGGGTGCTTCTTGCTTAGGACCTTTTATGTATATTGTCTCTCTTCCTGTTAATTCTGCAATCTAAAGACCATTACATTTGTGGGCTATCACCTGTTGTGTTTTTGCCAGCTCCTGGGGACCCAGGGAAGCTGATTTTTTGAAGTGCTGATGGAAAATGCCTGTTAAATGTATAAGCCTTTCTTGCAGGGTCAAGTCGGCGCTCACCTTTTATTTGCCTAATTGTCTACCTTAGTGGGCTCATTCCCCCTGATTCTCTTTTAGGTGGGAGTCTCTTTTCATAGGAGGCTTCCGTCTGAAGTGTTATGTTAAAAACACAGGCTTTTCTCCCCAAAAGATTGGAATCTAATTCCAGCACTGCCATTTGCTAGTCCATTGGCTGAGCAAGGTTGCTTCCTTTCTCTATACTTCAGTCTGTTTCCATAGAGGGAAATTATAATATCTGTCTCCTAATGTTGTTTTGAAAGTCAGGAACTGGCATCTAATGGCAGGCCTCTGCAGTGTGATGCCATTCTTCTCGCTGAGGAGTGAAAGCAGTAGCAGTACTAATTGCTCTTATGTTTAGGGCAAGCGTAGTGGTGTGGATATGGAATGAACACTTCGTAGTACATAAGTTCCTCTTTATGAGCACTCCCTGGAGAAGTTTCTCTCAGGCCTTAGTATAGAAGACCTTGCCTCTCTTTCCTTATCTCCAGATGTTCTCAACTTAAACTTCCTGCATTTCCTAGAAAACACCATGGTTTCTCATATCTCCAATTTCTATTCAGGTGCCACTTCCTATGCGAAGCCTTCCCAGACCTACCCTAATAGAGTTAATAACACCTTTCTTTTTTGGGGTCCCATGGCACATTTTACCACTTCAAAGAACTCCGGATTTAAAGTTGTATCATCATCATCATCATCATTATTATTATTATTATTGAGACAGGCCCTCACTCTGCCACCTAGACCGGAGTGCAGTGGCATGGTCATGGCTCACTGCAGCCTCAACCTTCCTGGGCTGAGGGGATCCTCCCACCTTAGCCTCCTGAGTAGCTAGCTGGGACTGTACATCTGTACCACTGCACCCGGCTAATTTTTGTATTTTATTATAGAGATGGGGTTTCACCATGTTGCCCAGGCTGGCCTTGAACTCCCGGGCCATTGGCCTTGACTTCCAAAGTGCTGGGATTACAGGTATGAGCACCACGCCTGGCCTTATTATTTTACATATTACTAAGAAAGAAAAAAAAACTACCGACTATTATGATGACACAATTCTCTCTTAGCATGTAACTTTTTATTTTATGTGTATACTGAAAGAGCTCTTTTAGGCCTATTTTGATATAAAAGTGACACACCATTGCATAGCACTGAATATCTCTTAGTTGAGTGTGAGTTTGTTGTTTATTATCCTCTGCTACATTCCTACAAGCTCATCAAATGTTAGGAAATATTATTTTGTTCATCTTAAATTTTTAAAGCCTTTGCATTTCAAAAACACTTGATGGTTGTTGAACTGATGTTGCAAAGGGCTTTATGCTCTTATGGAATTGGTTTGACATTGCCTATTTCATGTGTTATCCATAAACTCTAGAAATAAAAACATCTTAATAGCTATAGACTGCCAAAACTCTGTTTCACCTAGCCTGATACAATCTCAAAATTAGTCCCTTTGCCAATAGCCCAAGTTTACTCTAAAATAGGAATTAGAATAATAGAGTTGGAAATAATTGTAGTGATCACCTATACATTTAGAAAACTTACTTTACCACTTGTATTCATGAAAAGCATATATAGCTGTCATCTTGAGCTTTTGATTTTGGGTGTGGACCAATGAGACATAATTAGAGCCCAAGCTGAGAAATTCGATATTAAAAAAATTAAAAATTTGGCTGGGCACGGTGGCTCATGCCTGTAATCCTAGCACTTTGGGAGGCCGAGGTGGACAGATCACAAGGTCAGGAGTTCAGGAACAGCCTGGCCAATATGGTGAAACCCCGTCTCTACTAAAAATGCAAAAATTAGCTGGGCGAGGTGGCGTGTACCTGTAGTCCCAGCTACTTGGGAGGCTGAGGCGGGAGAATCACTTGAACCTGGGAGGTGGAGGTTGCAGTGAGCTGAAATTGTGCCACTGCACTCCAGCCTGGGTGGCAGAGCAAGACTCCGTCTCAAAAAAAAAAAAAGTTTTTTTTTAAATTTATATACAGTGAAGTGGACTTTTGTGTGTATATATCTGTCCATGTAGACATACGTATATACATGAATAGAGTTGTTTAACAGCCACCACAGTTACAACCTATACATTGACCAAGTGAGAGACTGAGGCTATGTGACTTTGAAATACAGGTGTCTGTATGTATTTTGCTCAGTGTTTTCCTCATTATTTCACATCAATTTCCTTCCTTACAAATATTCTTTGATCAGTTCAAGCTGTCCTGTTCAGCAGGCCTTGTCATTTCATGTATCTGTCTTCTCTTGACACTTTTGTTAGGACAGATCTGCGTAAAATGCCTTCTACTCTCAGAAAATAACAAAGACTTGGCTAAGCCCTACTCTTTCTTCAAGAGGTCAGGTTCTGCTTCCATGAAGCTTTCCAGTTGCTCATGATAATCTGTCCCTTTTCCAAACTCTCATAGCGTGTTTTGTGTATTAGCCTTATACTGATCTTTGTATTATAATTTATCTTTTGAAGTGTATTTCCTATATACTGAAAAAGGAAATTTCATCTTCTACTTCTCTTTCATCAGTTTCATTTTCATCTAATGAAAATTTGTACAATTAAAGATTTCTTTCTCTTTAGGGAATCCTCTAGATATTTCTTACTGTGGCAGTGTTCACTCCTCTTTCTACCACTGTTGTATAATTTCAGAGGCTCAATTAGATGACTATTTCTCTAACTTAGCTGGGGGTGCTATGGGAAGAAACATCACCAAGTAAAGCATAGTATCTTTGCTAACCATCAGTCAGTTTGGGCTGACAGTTTCTGAACACTCTTCCCTGTGTTTAGAATTCTCCATCATACACTTCTGCTTCTGCTGTTTATAATAAAAGCTGAAAACATCATATCCTAATTTTCCCATTCTCCCTAGCAGCTGGAACTCCATCCTTGAATCAGGGGCTAAAGGTTCAAAGAAGAAAGGATTGCACAGAATTTGTTCTGGTGGTGGAGGTGGCAATGGTGACACCCATTTTCTAAGGGTGGCATTCAGTGAGGTGGTGTGGGGAGGAACATTGAGCTGGGGTGTCCGTTTGATTGCAGTGGTTAAGTTGCCTTCAACAGGCAGCTTTTTTGGTATGATTTTGACTGTGGGTTTGGAGGCCTGGTTTTCCACCTTTCTTAGTTGTCACTCAGTGTGTTTCTTTTCTGCTTACAAGCAGCCAAGATTGGTTTCTGTCACTAGCAACTAATAATCTTGCCTGGTGCAATATCAGAGAACCTGGGCTTAGAGCCCTACAGTGTGTCCTAATCTTGGCTCTGTCCCAAGCTTTCTGACTTTGGGTAAATCACCTAAATGTTCAGATTCTTCATTTTTAAGAGAGCATATTTTTAAAGTCTTTTCAACTCTAAAATTGTATTATTTTTGTTTCTACTAATTGGCCACTGAGATGCTGATGTGATCAACATCAACTTCCAAATTCATCAGTGGACACCACCAAAATTCTGCTCACAGTATTTCGTTATGGTATTGTTCTTCTGTATTATAGCAATTCCTGGGTTCCTGTGTCTGTACTTAACCCCATTGTTTAGCTAGTGTTTACCAGTACTCTGCACAGCTTGAGTCTTGACAGGTGTAAAAATGTTCTTTGTTCTCTGTTAGTGATCTAATTGAAGGAAGAGAATGCTTTAGGCACCAGCAGGTTTCCAGGTTCCAGGGTTTCTGTGGCAATGTTGATTCAGATGAGAGCTTTTTAGTGGAGAGTTTAGATTCAAAGTCATAAATTGTAAGAATTACATTTTAATGCAGTACTGTTGGCTAGGAGATTCAAGATTTAAAGCGACCAACCCTTTTACAGTTTTTTTTTATATGTGCATAGTGGAAAACCTAATGTGAAATAGTTTTTCAGGAAAGCTAATAATAAATGCCTTATAAGTGTCATCTCATTGTAGGGCTATAGTTAATACCTCTGCAATTGTCTTTAAAGGAAAAAAGGAGAATTGAGAGAAGGAGCTTGGAGGTTATCTACATTCACACTTAGCTTCAAACGGGGAAAAAAAATCTCCTATGGCTTACTGACCCCTATCTATGTCCTTTTAATACCATATAAGAATAAAATGAAACCAACATTAATTTTGTCTTCCATCTTACCTTAATAAATTCAGATGATTTCTTTATGGTTTCATTTATGACCACAACAAAAATCGATAATATTTTTTTTTTTTTGTAGTTGGGGGCTACAGGTCTCAGAAGCAGCAGTGGATACTGGGTTACCAGTGAGAATGACAAGGGTTTTGTTGGGAGAGCTTCTTTTATTGCATCTTTTAGGAAAAAATATGGACTGGGTTTATTAATCTGTAATTCAGATTCAAGTTTACCGGGCTGGACATGGTAATTCACACCTGTAATCTTAGCATTTTGGGAGGTCTAGGCGGGAGGATCGCTTGAGCCGAGGAATTTGACACCAGCCTGAGCAACATAATGAGACTTCATCTCTACAAAAAAATTTTGAAAATTAGCCCTGCACAATGGTGTGTGCCTGTGGTCTCAGCTATTTGGGAGGTGGAGGTGGAAGGATTTACTTGAGTCTAGAAGGTTGAGCCTGCAGTGAGCCAAGATTATGCCACTGTACTCCAGCCTGGGTGACAAAGCAAGACCTGTCACAAACAAACCTCTATCAAATGCCAGACATGTTAGGGACTTTCCTTTGTGTCCATGACGAGTTTTCTGAGTACCCACATTGTGCCACTTGCTATGGAGTAACAATAGACAGCCCTATAGCAGTCTTTAGATTTAGCTGGAAAAATATTTTAAAAATTAATACATGGAGAACAATTTTAAAATAGTTAATGACCAAACTGTGCAGTACTATTAAAATGAAGCAGAAGTTTAGATATACAGATTAATGTATTCCAGAGGACCTGGGATATTCCTGGTACAAGTGGGACTTTTGGGATGTGCCTGTAATATTTTGAGGGGGGAACTATTCAGGGAAGGTGGCACATCATGATCACAAAGGCCAAAAGAAAGGATAAGACATATAATGCAAGAGTGAGGAGAAGGAAAATACTAGACTGGGGTTTGTGATACTAGTCATATGAGTTAAGTGGACAGTTAGGGTGGTGCTAGAATAAAGGTTGAAGAGTTTATACTTGAAATAAGCCACAAAAGGTATGATAAACATTTGTTTCTGGAGCACATTAGAAAAGATTGTTTTTGTATCGTTCTACATTCTCCTGTTACGTTGCTGCTGTTGTTGTTTATTTTCAGACTCCCTCGAGCCCACTTATCAGCAGCTTCAGAAAATGAAACTGGACAAGAGTCCCTTTGTGGTCGTGTCTGTGGTTGGGCAGGAACTCCTGACAGCTGGCCATCACGGGGCCTCTGTGGTTGTCTTAGAAGCCGCACTGAAGATTGGCACCTGCAGCCTCAAACTGAGAGGTTCTGTTTTCTCTGCCCTGAGCAGTGCTTACTGGTCTCTTGGAAATACAGAAAAGAGCACTGGATATATGCAGCAGGACTTGGATGTAGCCAAGACCTTAGGTAGAGTGATGCTTCTTTTTTCTATTTCAGTGCAAAAAGGGAAGGAAGAAAGCTGAGTAACCTGACATGAATGAAAATAACATATGCAATAAAGTGATGGCCAGGCATGATTGCTCACACCTGTAATCCTGGTGCTTTGGTAGGATTGCCTAAGGCCAGGAATTTGAGACCAGCCTGGGCAACATAGTGAGACCCTGTTTATTAAAAAAAAAAAAAAAGCTGGGTGTGGTTGAATGTACCTGTGTCTTAGCTACTCTGGAACCTGAGGTGGAAAGATTGCTTGAGTCCAAACATGCAAGGTTACACTTAGCTATGATCACACTGCTGCACTCCAGTCTGGGCAACAAAGCAAGAAACCCTGTCTCTTAAAACTAAAAAATAAAAAAGAAAGTGAGTGCCTCTAGACCATTCTCTATTTTAGAGTATTCAGGTCTTTACAGCTTTCTTATATAACAAGGTGCTAACACTCCTAAAAGACTAAGAGATGTGGATTAATATGCTCATTGCTCTCTTCAGAGATTTGAGCTTACAAAATATGTCAAATGATAGCCTTGATGGGTGAGTTTTTCACCTTAATTTTAATTTTTTCCTGCATTAGGATGCATCATCCTTTTGTTGAAGGAGATAGTATAATACAGAGTGTGTACTATGGAGTCTGACTACTGGGTTTAGAAGCCTTGCTCTGTCGCTTACTGTCTTCGTGACTTGGGACAAGTTTCTCAATCTCTGTAACCCAGTTTTCTCATTTGTAAAATAAGTATGGCTTATGATTATGATGGTCATTATGGTGATTATTCAAGAACTTATAGGATTGCAGTAAGGGAAAGGATATGGTGAATCTACCACCAGCATACTTATAAAGATATTTCCTTGTAGGTTTGGAGTCAAATGACTGAACCAACAAACTGATGGTAGTTTAGAATCAAAGGTCGTTAGCAGAGCAATGAGGAGACTCAAATAGCAACTAGTTTGTGTTAAGGTCTTTTGTTTCAAGATACGTAAGTCCCTGTCTGCAGTTGTATATTATGACAATAATAGCAGTTGTTATCCAGAGATTTAAATTTTAGGACAGTAACTCCCTACATAGTGTCTTGTGGAATAAACAAATACTTTTCTAAAAGAAGATAAATGAAATCTTAGCTAATAACTGTGGCTCTTAAGATGACCATTATATATTATAAATAACATTGTAACTTAGAAAATTTTATCTTTTTTTTATCAATTCAATCCAGGTGACCAGACAGGAGAATGCCGAGCTCACGGGAATTTGGGCTCTGCATTCTTTTCCAAAGGAAATTACCGGGAGGCTCTCACTAACCACAGGCATCAGTTGGTACTCGCCATGAAACTCAAAGATCGAGAGGTAGGAAGTTCATCTGCAGACCAAAAACATTTTTTGTCTCTTTTTTGGAAACATGGAGCTCTATTTTCTTTTCTTTTTAAAAAAACTACTCTTTCAGGTATCTTAAAATATTACTTTGAGAAGAAAGTATTACTTGAGAATTATTGATTCTGTCTTTCAGCAACAATTGAGTGTTGGGTATCAACCAAGCATAGTCCTTGGATATATAGAAACAGATCAGACCTTGTTCTCAACCTTAGGATCTAATGCTTTGTCAGACGTATTGTTCTTATTATCTTCAAATGTGCGTATGTTTATGTAAAAGTAGAAAAAAGCTATATTATTATAGCACACTCAATTGTAAAAAGCAAACATTGTGGGGTTTTTTTTTTAAGATCAAATATTACCGCCACCTGTTTACATTGATACTTTGTTGGATTTTTAACTCAGAAGCATACTAAGTTTGATATCTGAATCATAATGGTAAAGAAGTATCATCCTAGTCTTTATTAAAGAGGTATACTATAATATGCTCAAAGAGTTAATATTCAGTAGATGTAACATGATTAGAGAGTGTCTGCAAAGTGGAAAGAAGGTGAGGTTTGGCATCAGATAGACTAAGATTTAAATCCCAGCTGTAGTACTTCATGGTTGTGGAATCTTGGGAGCAGTTATAACTTAACTTTTCTTTTTCTCCTCTGTTTTCTTATTCAGGAAGTGATTATTATTCTATTTATTCCAAACACAGTTGTGGTAGGATTATAAATAATATATGTAAAGTGCCCAGCATGGTGCCAGGATTTCCATAATGGCATTCCACAAAGGAATTCCATAAATGATAGCTTTTATTATAATATTATTAATAGGGAAGAGAAGGTTAATAGCAGAGGCAACAGTAAGTTTATAAATCATTCTATGTGTTGAGAAATATGTTTAGTCATGTTTACATCTAAGAATTCTATGGGACATTATAAAGATTAATTATATTGTTTAAATGATCCAGCAACTTCATGTTTCAGGAACATGGCCAGGCACTAGGAGGGATTTGAAGAAGAAAAGAAATGCCTTTGAAAGCCACCAAAACAGACTATTGAAGGGCTGAGGACTTTTGGCAATTTTATTCTCTAGAGAGTTAACTGAACACTTTTCTTATTGCCCAATTAATTCCAACGTTACAAACAATTCTTATAAGCCAGATGATCTGATTCTTTGATGTTCAGGGAGTGATATGGGAGATCAGACTTCTAGAGACAGATATATACTAATGGCATTACGAAGTGAGAACCAGGTTTAAGAAATAAAACAGCATAGTTGTCCAGTGAGGCCCATTTAGTGAAGGGACAAATTGCTATAAATATGTCAAGAGTTGACCAGGTGTGGTGGCTCACGGCTGTAATCCCAACACTTTGGGAGGCCGGGGCAGGTAGATCACAAGAAAAGTTCAAGATCATCCTGGCCAACATGGTGAAACCCTGTCTCTACTTAAAATACAAAACTTTGCAGGTGTGGTGGTGGTCACCTGTAATCTCAGCTACTAGGGAGGCTGAGGCAGGAGAATTGCTTCATCTGGGTGAAGTGAGCTGAGATCGTGCCACTGCACTCCAGCCTGGGCAACAGAGCAAGACTCTGTCTTGGAAAAATAATAAGTCAAGAACTACATTTATACTCTTTTTTTCCTAACCTTCAAGCTGTATATGTTAGTCCAATTAACTAGATAGGGTGGAAAGACTTTTAAATGGGTAATATCATAGATGTTAAAGAGAAGGAATGAATTTTTTCTGCCTTCCCTGTTCTCAATAGTATAATTTATATCATCTGCATTCTCTTTGTTTTATAACCTCTGCTGTACAATATGTTGTTAAGAAATCATTGAACTATGGCCAGGCACACTGGCTCATGCCTGTAATCCCAGCACTTTGGGAGGCCGAGGTGGGCAGATCATGAGGTCAGGAGTTCAAGACCAGACTGGCCAACATGGTGAAACCCTGTCTCTACTAAAAAGTTCAAAAATTATCTGGGCATGGTGGCTCGTGCCTGCAATCCCAGCTACTTGGGAGGCTGAGGTAGGAGAATTGCTTGAACTGGGACCTGGGAGGTGGAGGTTGCAATGAGCTGAGATCTTGCCACTGCACTCCAGCCTGGGCTACAGAGCGAGACTCCATCTAAAAAAAAAAAAATCATTGAATTATGCAGATGGAAGGGACCCTGAGGTAATACTGGCACCAATTCCTTCCCCAAATCTACCTATCTTAGATTTGCCACCTATCACAGTTGTTTCTCAGCCCTTCCAAAATTGATCTTTGCATAGCCGCTACTGCAGTAGTTCACAAGACTGCCTACTGGGATGTTCTCCTTACGTGTAAGTAAGAGATTCCAGGGCTAACTTAAAATTTCCACTGAGGGGAATTTATTTTTTCCCTTATGTGAGGATAGAATGTCCAGCTACCACATTCCTTTTCTAAGCTTAATATCCTCATCAAAGTTTCCGATTATTAATAATCTTAACACCCTCTTCTGGCCATTCCCTTTTCACAGTGGCCCACTTGGGTTGTCAGCCATAGCTCAACTATTGCCGAGGCCTCCTGAGTTGTTCCTCCTGTTCAGCCGATGCTCCTGGTTGATGTTGCTCAAGCATATTTATTTGATTCCTTGACTGACCTAAGGAATTTCCCCTTTTTTCTGTGTTTCTTCTGTTGTGTTTGCCTCTGGAATTACAGAGTACCATTCATTTTCATGAGAAATTAATGGATTTTTCTTAGTTTTTTTTTTCATAAATGTATTTCCTGTATCTGATACATAGTAAGCATTCAGTAATTCCTTTTTTTAACATTGTGTTGGAGGGGGAGACCATTTCAGATTTAATCTTTCAGCAAATTTTAAGTATACAATGTGATATTATTAACTATAGCTTCCTGGTATACATTAGATCTCTAGATCTTATTTATCCTGCATAGGTAAAACTGTATACCCTTTAACCAACATCTCCCCATTGCTCTCCCTCAGCCCTCACTGATAACCACCATTCTGTCTATGCTCTGCTTCTATGAATTCAGCCTTTTTAGACTCCATATGTAAGTGAGATCATGTAGTAATTTTCTTTCTGTGTCTGGCCTTTTTCACTTAACATGATATTCTCCAAGTTCATCCATCTTGTCGCAAATGACAGGATTTCCTTCTTTTTTAAGGCTAAATAACATTCATTCCATTGTATGTGTCTGTGTGTGTGAACCATAATTCCTTTACACTTTGATTTCTTGATAGATACTTAGGTTGTTACCATGTCTTGGTTATTGTGAATAATACTTCAGTGAACAAGGGCATTTCTCTAATTTTTAAGGTTGTTTTTGAGTGCTGCTTCTTACCTGCCCATGTTTTACTGGAAATCTTTATTCCTGTATCCCTGAAACCAGCCACCAATTGTTAAGACTGGAATTAATATTGATTCAGAGCTTAAAGGAATGTACAAAATATCTAAAGGAAACTATTTCAGTAATATTGTATTTTATCTAGGTTCAGAGTTTTAGTTGGCCATTCTAGATTTAATTCAGTTAAGTGTGAAGTCTTCTCATAAAGCACCTAATACTGCATTTAGGATTCAAGGTCTGGTTAGTATGGTATAGGGTTACTCCCTTTAAGGGACTTACTTTCTCTTTGAGGCAAGCTTTAATACATGAAAATGTTAGGACATTGTTTCAGCAATAAATGATGAATGTTCTCTTAATCACTGCTGAAATTCTGGAATTCTAGAGGGGCAGAGACTGGTATAAACTTGAGGAAGTTTTGTCAACAGGTGAAACTTGGAATGTGATCCTAAACTCTGGTTAGCATAGCAGTCATGTTTTGCTGAGTGATAAGAGAGTTCATGGCTTTAGCAACGATCAAATATTCACCACAATTCTATTCAGTATAGTCACAGAATCTTGTTTTTTATAAAAGTTAATATAGGGTTGGGTACGGTGGCTCATGCCTGTAATCTCAGCACTTTGGGAGGCCAAGGTGGGCAGATTACTTAAGCCCAGGAGTTGGAGCCCAAGGTGTACAGATTACTTGAGCCTAGGAATTTGAGACCAGCCTGGGCAGTATAGTGAAACCTCATCTTTGCAAAAAGAAAAAAAAAATTAGCTGGGTGTGGTGGTACTTGCCTGTAGTCCCAGCTACTCAGAAGGTTGAGGTGAGAGGATTGCTTGAACTTGGCAAGCCAAGGTTGCAGTGGGCTAAGATTACACCACTGTACTCTAGTCTGGGCAACAGAGGGCAACCCTGTCTCCAAAAAAAAAAAAAAAAGTTAATATTTATTAGTTTTATCCAATTACACAACAATTACATGAAAATAATCCTACCATACTGTTAATATTTTTGGTATACTCTTTTAGTCATATATGTAATTACAAGTTTTTATATTTATTCAAACCGAAATGGAAATCCTCTTGGTTGTTGTTTTATAACTGTTTGCACTTATATAACACGTCTTCATTTTATTAAGTGTTCCACTGAAATTCTTATGGCTTTCTCATCATTTATTTCATCTATTTTCCTACTGTTACATATTTAAGTTGTTTCAAAATTTTGGTATTATAAAATCTGGAAAAATATCTTTGTAGGTAAATCTTTAAACACATCTCTTATCATTTCCTTTACTTAAATTATTAGAAGTGGGTTGGTTTGGAATAAACATAGTAAGGCTTCTTATACTTATTACTAATAATTGCTCCCAGGAAGGCTGCCTCTGTTTCAGGCCTACCAGCAATGTATCAGAGGTTTCATTTCCCTGCACTGGCCAACACTGGGCATTAATATTAAAACCAAAAAATCAATTGAATAGATTAAGAGAAAAGTAATATCTTATTGTTTTAATTTGCATTTCTTTGATGACTACTTGGGTTGACTGTTTTTTAAAATTTTTTTTTAAAGAATTTTATGCTTTGTTTTTAAAATAAAGAACTGCTGGGCACGGTGGCTCACGCCTATAATCCCAGCACTTTGGGAGGCCGAGGTGGGCGGATTACGAGGTCAAGAGATTG